GCCGTCTCCTTTAAAAATTCACATCTTCCAAACTAAAGCAAGTAACGACTTGAAATCTTCACCATCTTCAGAAAATGTCTGAATGTAAATGTGCTGAAAGTTTTGTAAAAAATGTCAAAATTCCTGAGTTTTTCGAGCTTGGCGCAAATCGGTCTCAAAATGAATATTTCACCCAACTGCGCCGTCTCCTTTAAAAATTCACATCTTCGAAACTAAAGCAAGTAACGACTTGAAATCTTCACCATCTTCAGAAAATGTCTGAATGTAAATACGCTGAAAGTTTTGTAAAAAACGCCAAAATTGCTGAGTTTTTCGATCTTGGCGCAAATCGGTCTCAAAATKAATATTTTACCCAACTGCGCCGTCTYCTTTAAAAATTCGTATCTTCGAAACTACAGCAAGTAGCAARTAGAAATTGTCACCATCTTTAGAAGTTACCTGACTCTAATGATGCTGATAATTTTCTAAAAATCATCAAGAATTCTGATTTTTGCCAGCTTCGTAAACATCGGTCCCAAAATTGATAATTTTACTAAATGGCGCTTTCTGCTTTAAAATTTCGCTTCTTTAAAACCAAAGCAGATAACAATTTGCAATTTTCCCCATCTTTAAAATGCAGCTGAGTCTACAAATGGTGCAAGTTTGCTAAAAATCGCTCTGCATCAACAACTTTGACATATTAGTGAATATCTGATCTGAAAATGAAGGTTTTTAGCCAGCATTGTTCCTCGATAAAGTGTATCTTCGGAACACTGGTTCGAAATATTCACTATCTTTAGGAAACGCTCAACTCCAAAGGTGCTCAATTAGCTTAGAAATTAAAAAGATTTAAAATTAGAAAGACGGAAAAGTTACTGGCTGAAAACCCGTAATTGCGGCTGGCATGTTGATCTAGCAACTTTCTTTGGGTAATAAATAGCCAAATAAAATTAAAAATGAGGAAACAAGCTTAAAATAGATCGAGTACTGATGGAAAAGACAATTTTCTTTGGCACCGGGCCACATTTTTCCTATTTCCACCGATTTCTTTTCCGGCGCCCACTTTACCTTAAGCCCGAACCGCCGATTATTAGAACTAGAAAAGGACAATGCCAAAATTGAAAAAACGTCAGCTGTCTGAAAATTCAAGTTCTTGTTAAAAATACTCCTGATGAGTGCAAAACTTGATTTCGTGGCTCGATCCGAGCACAAACTTGTGGGCAAAATGGGCTTTCGCATTGGGCGGACGATCGGAAAAGGCACCTACAGTAAAGTGTGTCTTTCAACCAACAGCAAGGGCGACAAATTTGCCTGCAAAATCATCAGGAAGAAACTAGCCGGCAGCGATTTTATTGAGAAGTTTCTGCCCAGGGAAATTGAGATTATCACTGCGATTAAACACCCCAATATCATTCAGGTGGGTTGAGGTTCTTCATTTAGCTTTCGTTGCTTCTCACACACTGGAAGATGAATAGCGTTATACTCTTAGGTCTACAAAATAATGGAAACCCAACAAGTAATTTACATGTTCATGGATTACTGTCGCGACGGCGACCTGCTGGAATACATCAGGGAATACGGCTGTTTTCCTGAGGAAAAAGCCAAACACTATTTTAGGCCATTAGTGGAAGCAGTGGCGTACCTGCACGATCTGGACATCGCCCATCGGGACATAAAATGCGAAAACATCTTCCTAATGGCGAACAAGCAAGTGAAGCTGGGAGATTTTGGGTTTGCCCGAATGTGTACCGACGCATATGGAAAACACGTTTTATCGGACACTTTTTGCGGATCGGCAGCTTATGCCGCCCCCGAAATACTCAAAGTAAGTGTCTGTCTGTGCCCTAAACTCTCTGGAAAGATTCTCAATGCGAAGTGAGAGTAGTAAAGGCGGCCAACAGATGCAGCACACACATGAGCAAAATTGCTGCATCTTTGGGACGCCTCTATTTAGCTTAGAGCAAACTTCGAGTACAGATACAGCCGCTGGTGCTTAATGAAAAAAAAAAAACAACTCTGGAAATAAATTTTAATGAATATCGCAAATTATCCAGAAAGTCTGGGAACGCTCTAAATTAATAAAATTTCCCACGCGTTTTTCACATCGGCTCGAATCCACCTTAGTTTGACCCAGTTATGCGACAATGTTTACATAAATCAATATACGTACGTACTCGTTCCAAGCCAGAAATTGCGAACAAATTAAATCTTCCTGCTTTTTAACTGCTTTTAACTGGAGATTTGGGGAAGAATCTTCTTTTTTGGTTTCGAACCAAATATCCAGAAAACGGGCGATTTGTTTGCATTGCATTCGTTCCTCGAATCCCTGCCAAATTTTGTCTTTTGAAAGGAAAATTTAAAAAGCAACTAATTTCAGTCACCAAAGCAAAAGCTATAAAAAACAATAATACAAAAGGAAAAAAAAATATGCAAAAGACGCATAATGTGCCCTCTTTTGTAAAAATTCGTATCTTCCAAATGATAGCAAGTAGCGACTTGTAGTTTTTACCACCTTAAGGAGACTCTTGATTCTACAAATGGTCACAGCTTCATTAAAAATTTCCGATACTGATATTGTCCAGCTGAATAATCATCAGTCTCAAAATGGATCTTCTTATCCAACTCCATTTTTTTTTAATCACATCTTCCGAACTTCATTTTGCATAAAATCCTGATTTTTGCCAGCTTAGTAAATATCGGTCTCAAAATGGAACTATTAACCCAACTGCGCTCTCTCCTTTAAAAATTCGCATCTTTGATACTAAAGCAAGTAGCCTTTTGAAATTTCAACAGTTCTTGCAGGATTTGTCAATCTAAATATACAGAAAGTTTCATTCATTTTGCATGAAATCCTGATTTTTGCCAGCTGAGTAAATATCGGTCTCAAAATGGAAGTATTAACCCAACTGCGCTCTCTCCTTTAAAAATTCGCATCTTCAATACTAAAGCAAGTAGCGTCTTGAA